GAGTGTCAGGCACAGGTGTACCGGTTTCCGGTTTCCGAGCGACAACCAGTAGTTAGTTTAGGTTCACGCTAATGCGAGAGAGGGATACAAACTCATGTACTGCATAGTTCCGCTCTCACTCATAGTGATAGCTCTTCTCGCGTATATCATTATTTAGATGGATGACGATGTAGTTGCAAGTAATCGAAACTTGTACCGCTATTTTCGAGATGATGACGAGAGACCACTTTGTGTTGGATGATGATTATGATGATGACATGATTTGATGAGATTATTTGTATGTATATGCTATGATTACATTTGTATGTGTATGATATGCTAAAGATTATTGTATAAAGTCTATTCAAATACAAAACAAATATCCAGGAAAAAACATAAACTAATAAAACTAGCAGTAGCGAGGGGAATAAAGTTAGCAGTAGCGCTCCCTTACCAGTAGCGCCTCCTGCTAAAAAGCGCTTCAGATGTTAGCAGCAGCGCTCTGCTATAAAGCTCGCTACTGCTAGCCATGTATAGCAGTAGCGTGGGACGACACGCGCTACTGCTATACGTTAACTGTAGCGCCTTATCAGTAGCGCGACGTCCCGCGCTACTGCTAGGGTTTTCCCTAGTAGTGGGCGCTGGTACTTAGCGGCACGTGCATGAAGACTTCTCGGCTGTCATCGACAAGGTCATGTCGGTATCAGTATGGGAGTGGCGGCGGCGGCGCGTCGGCAACAATGGTTGTTCGGTGGCCCATGAACCTGGATGTAATTTTTATTATATTTGAGGTGCTTTATACATCTGATGAATTTTTATAATAGATCCGATTCTTTTCGCAAAAATATACATGTACTATATCACACTCTTTTGGATCTTATGGTGTTAAATAAGCTAAAAAAGATTAGCATCAACGAGTGTTTTCTTTTCGATGGAGCCAGCGAGTGTTTGACCCATCACAAGGAAGATCAATGAATTGTAGCAGGATGTTCGAGTGGTGTAACTTTTCATTAACACAGAGTGCCAAAAAAATATAAAATTCCAATCATGAAAATGGAGCAATATGAACAGAAAGCGTTTCTAAAAAATTAAATTCTCCATTGTTTTTGATAAAATCCGTTCGACTCAAAGAAATCTTGAAGAACCTGATTTACATCAAAAGATACCCCCATTATACCACGTGGCAAGCGTGGTAAAAGCAATCTGAAATGAACTCATCTAAAAAGACTAAATAAAAAAAACTTCCATTACATGTGACGGTTGGAATTGGAAATGTAGGATTGCATTATCCCGTAGGAGCCATTCATCTTTTTTTTCTACTTCCATTCTATACTATAACGGGGCATGAAAAAAACTTGCGGCACTCCAAAACCAGGCCTTAGATGCGGGCCATGCCACCCATTCACCACTATCCTTTCACCAATCGACGAGGTATCATGTGGACACAATCGCACCGAACTTCAATCATTCGACCCGTGGAGTAGATAGATTATCAACTGATAAAACCTCGTGAAAACGAAAGAACCCCAATAATGCATCCCAGTTATCATCCTCACCCACACTCCTGATCACCTATCGCCGCGCCTCGCCTCCGTCTCATGCGCGCCCTTCAAACACGCCCAAGAAGCAACGAGGGACGAGTTCAATAGACCCCTACGCGCCGCGCATTATCCAGAGCAGAGCAACGAAAGATCTTCAAACCCTCCCGCCCCGCTCCGCCTTTTTGAGACAGAGGCCCCTCCTCCTCCTGTACGTTGGAGGGCCAAAAGGCAAAAGTAGACGTGGCCGGCGGCGTCCCGTTCCGCGCGCGCGGTAGGACCGATGGAGAGGAAGGCCGGCCATGCAATTGCAATGCCATGTTGCCATTGCCACGACGTACGACGCGTTGGCTCCCGAGAGCGACGTGCGCAGGGCGCTCGCCGGGCCTCCGCCCTGCCTGCCCGGGATACCGTCGACCCAGTTACGACATACGGGTGGACGGGTCCTTGGCCTTGCAAGCAGGTTGCAACTTGGCCGCAATAATTCCGGGAGAACGCGAATTCTTGTTGCGTGCTAGCTTCCGATGTTATTGCTACTTATTTTTTTATTTTTTTTGCGAATATGTTATTGCTACTTATTGCTAGGCTGCCTGGAGATGCAGGACGGATTCCGAAAGCGGCACCAGGGAAGGAAAGGAATCCTGTGGAGGATGCGGTCAGTGGGCGCGGCGAAAGCCACCAACGTGACGTGACAATGGGTCGAGAGGATGAGAGGAAGTCAATGTACTAACGCTAGTAGTACTAATCTACATAAAATCGAATCCAGATACGATCTGTAACCAAATACAAGTACTAGTCTACGTGGATAGGCTCATGCAATACTCTGCAAGACAGCAATAACTCAGCCGCGAATCAACCTATGGTTGAGATAGTTAGGTGGACAGTGGTATCCCCAACCCACCAGGGTTCAAATCCTGATGCTCGCATTATTCCTGGATTTATTTCAGGATTTCCGGCGATGTGCTCTCAGTGGGAGGAGACGTTCCCGGCGACGACGAGGCGCCTACGATGACTTCGTAAATCTCAAGATGATATGCCGGCTCAGTCTTTCGAAGGTGCTCATAGGGGTAGGGTGTGCGTGTGTGCGTTCATAGGGGTGAGTGTATGCGCGTGTATATGAGCGCTTGTGTCTGTACTGATGCTAAAAAAAACAGCAATAACTCGGCCGGTTGCGATCGAACAAGGTAACGTCGCGATTTAAGTGTGAGTTTGTGAGCGGTGATAAGTTGATGGAAAGATCGTCTGATATTACTTGACCCGCTCGAGAAAATGAAAGACAAGTAATATCTGATCTGACTAGGTAATAGGTACCGTCAGTGTGAAGGCACCACTATCTGACAGAGCCTCGTGTGGCTCCAGTTTAACAGCTCGTAACTTTTCCGGTGGTTAACTCTATGACAAGGTGACTTAGGTGAGGCAAGAAGTTTAAAAGGTTGACAAGCTACAGTTGACAATCAGGCTGTGCGTAGTGAACTTGTGCTCTACTGAGGTTCATTCTAAATTTATTGTTGAAAAAAATATACGGAAGTAAGAAAAACTAGTTAGTCCAAAAATCGGCAAAAACTGACAGAGCAATAAGAATCTACTTAGATACATTATAAACTTTCTTAAAAAGCAAAAAATGCCTTAGAATTTAAACGGTCATTTTCTAAAAGAAAATCTTTTTTTGCCAAGCCTTCTTTGTCATGAAATTGCGCAAGCATATGGAAATACCTTTCAGTGTTACACTTTTTTTAAAAAAAGTACGATTCAAAAAGAAAATACCTTTCAATGTGACATTTGTAAAAAAACACAGAGTTAACAAAATTGACCTCTTTCTATGAAAATATACAAGCACAAATACCTAGATTTTTTTTGGAGAAAAGCATTAGATCTATTATAAAAGTTTACAAAAAATACAAAACATCTCAAAGATAATAAAAATTACATCAAAATATCGAGACCACTACTACCGCCGACGCGTCTTTGTCGCCGCTCCTCTACTGGAGCTGGCTTGATATTGTCGATGACAGCGGGGAAGGTGTCGTAAGGACCAATGTCCTACAGCCGCGGTCGTTGTTATTGAACTCTTGCATTGACTTGAAATACCTGGCATGAAATCTCGCTACATGACGTGAAACTCTAACCCCACCACCTCAAGGAGACAACGGGAACATACGTCGGAGCTCCGTCGACTACGTCCACACGGACGAACTCGATGAGGATTGTAGCTCGAAAGACAAACTCGAAGAAGAAGTGCCGCCATACGCTCGAGCGCCGCACTTGCTAGGACTAATAACCCTAACCTAAACTACTAACCGGAGCGAAGGCACCGGGATTCCTCTCCCCACCACCGACTGCTGGAGAGGCGGGCAGAAGGGAGGCGAATCCACGGGCTCGGCATTGATATCTAGATGGGAGAGTTTGCCCTAGCCGTTTAGGATTAGGGAAGGGAAACGAGAGATAGTCGTCATAGCACCTGTATATTTGTGGATGTATTTTTTTTTCCAAATTTTGTCCTACATTTTTTGAACAGTGTTTTTCCTCTCGCGCTCCATCACTTGAATTTTTTGAACGGTGTTTTTTCTCTCGCGGCTGCATAATAATGACGGATGTATCTAATACTAAAACATGACTTGATACATCCGTATTTAGACAAATCTAAGACAAGAATTTTGGGACGGTGAGAGTATAAGCCTTCTTATATAGATATTTTAATATGGACTACGAACAGAGCAAAATGAACGAATCTACACTCTGAAATATGTCTATGTACATCTGTATATATTCCTTGAAATCTTATACTACTATCTCTACTATTATATATTTAAAAAGAATGTAAGGTTCCCATTTCACCTTTCTTCCCACCACTCTTTCGTCCAACCTTCCTTGTATGATAATAAATCAACTTAATTTACTTACCAAACTTTAGATCAAAATATTAGGTTTCATGGGCAGAATTTGACGATCATTCATTTAAACAATCGCATTATTATAGATAGGTAAATCACAAGTCGACGTACTAGAAGATTTATATCCCGTTGCAACGCATGGGAATTGTTCTAGTGTTTAAAAACGAAGTTTTTTTCGAGAATACGCCTAGACGTACCATAACTTTATAGAAGATAGAATTTTCGAGAGTATTTAGAAACGAAGTAAATACTTACCTTTCTTTCTGTTCGGCTCTGTTGGTGGTGACAGGTCACACACACCCATGGAATGGAAGCGTCCAACTCGTCCACCACTTCCGTCGCCGACCTGCCCCACCCCGCCCACACACCTGCGCGAGAGCGTGACACGAGAGAGAGAGATACCAAGATCCCAAGCACAAGCAATCCCAATTCCCGTCGCCTTTATATAAAGAAGATCCCCTCCGTCTCTCTCCTCCACTTGTACTCCACCGCCACCACCCAAGGAGCGCCACGCGCACAGCTCGTCTTCTGAAGCAAACAACAGACACAAGCGGGGACGAATCCGTCCCGCGGCGGTTCGTCGATCGATCCGATGGGGCGGCGGTCCAGCGCGTCGCCGGTGGGGTCGGGGGAGCCGCTGCTGCCGGAGGTGCGGAAGTGCGTCAGCGGCGGCGCGACGATGCAGCGGTCCCTGTCGCGGGCGGACGACGAGCTGCAGTGGTTCCGGTCGTGCCTGCGGTGGGTGTGCATGGACCACTCCGCCCCGGGCCGCGCAGCGCTGTCCTGGCTGCTCTTCCTGCTCCTCGCCGTGGTCGTCCCGGCCACCGCGCACTTCCTCCTCACCTTCCGCCCCTCGCGCCGCCCCTTCGACGCCGTCGTCCAGGTCTCGCTCTCCGCCGCCTCAGGCGCCAGCTTCCTCTGCCTCTCCTCCTCCTTCCGCCGCATCGGCCTCCGCCGCCTGCTCTACCTCGACAAGCTCCGCACCAACAGCGACCGCGTCAGGCTCAACTACACCGCCCGCCTCGCCTTCTCCTTCCGCCTCCTCGCCTCCCTCGTCGCGCCCTGCTTCGCCGCCGAGGCCGCATACAAGGCCTGGTGGTACGCTACCTCAGCCGACCGCGTCCCCTTCTTCGCCAACGACGTCCTCAGCGACGTCCTCGCATGCTCCCTCGAGATGGCCTCCTGGATGTACCGCAGCGCCATCTACCTCCTCACCTGCGTCCTCTTCCGCCTCATCTGCCACCTCCAGGGCCTCCGCCTCGAGGACTTCGCCGGCTCCCTGCTCGTCGAGGTGGAGGAAGGGAGGATGGGGGTGGAGCGCGTCCTCAGGGAGCACCTCGACATCCGCAAGCAGCTCAAGGTCATCAGCCACCGTTTCCGTCGGTTCATCGTCGCCGCGCTGCTCATCGGCACCGCCAGCCAGTTCGCCTCCGTGCTCCTCACCACGCGCCACGACTCCATCGACGACCTCCTCCACACCGGCGAGCTCGCGGTAAGCCTCGATTGCCTGATTTCTCCACTCTCTTGGGCTCAATTCTGAATGTGATGTGTGTGTTCTTCAGCCAGGCAAAATTGGGGATCGCAATCAACTTGAGATTATCTTATCTCGGTTTAATTTAGACCAGACCAATAACTTTTTATGTTAAAAAAATTAAGCAAGTTGGAACTGCCTAGAATCGATCGATTGATTGGTACCTTGCCTTTGCGGGGAGATTAAGAATTGTGGTCAAATCGTAAGGGCTGAATTTTACTGGATTCAGTTGCCTTCATAGTTACACTTTCAGGACTTTCTCTGAAAAGAAAAAAAAACACTTGCTCGGTGGTTTCTGGACAGGCTCCATTGTCCTCTAAGTAGATGACAGATTATATAGAAATCCAGTAATCTGGTTGACGTCTATAGTTAAGTGGTAGTAGTATCATGTGAGGAACAGCGAAGCTAGTAAGGTGTGACGTGAGTCACTCTGCTGGCGATCGATCTGTCTGGGCCTGAAAATGGGACTTCGTTCTTTTCTGAATGCTAATTGGGGCGCCATCTTTGTAAAGGTACGAGTAGGGCCATGAATCAGTGATAGTGCCTTATTGAAATCACAAACTGATGGGAGTTGGGACAGTGTATATAAGGTGTAGAGCTCCTGTAGTTTCCAGATCTTGTCATAATCGCAAACAGCGACCTCTATACTGTATTAACAAATATAATATGGTTACAATTCAAAAGAAAAAAAATCTACTATGGTTAGAAGTTCCAGTTTCAGCGGCACTTCAGCTATTCTGGAAGCACCACTGTATTTAGGCCAACATAAGCTGATATTCTGAAGAATCACACTTCATCTGAGATTATCTAGAAATCCAATAATTGGGCTGGCTGACGTCTATAATTAAGTGATCTGGAGTAGTATCATGTGAGAAACAGCAAAGCTAGCAAGGTGTGACGTGATTCACTCTGCTGGCCACTGATCTGTCGCTGGGCCTGAAAATGGCACTTCATTCATTTCTGAATGCTAATTTGTGTGGCATCTTTCAAAGGTGTGAGTAGGGCCATGAATCAGTGATCTTATTGGCATCTCAACCCCAAGGGGGTTGGAACAGTGTGTAGGAGGTGCAGAGCTCCTTTAGTTTCAGATCTTTTCATAGTCACAAACAGCGACCTATGTGGCATTAACAAATCTAGCAGATCATTATAAGTTCTAGTTTCAGTGTTACTTAGTTTCTTACTTCGGCTATTTGGCAGCACTACTGTATAGGATAAGCTGCTACTTGGGAGCAGCTAAACTCAAAACAGATATATGTGGTAACTTACGGCATTTTGAACAGAAAAAATGGTGAAAGAATTAAGAATTTTCGGACACATCTTATTTACATTGTCTCAGCTCTGCATACTTGGCACCATTTCCAGGCACTGGTCCTAATGTTTCTTCATGTTGAATTCTGCAGCTATGTTCAGTGGTGCTCATGTCCGGGCTCATCATAATCCTGAGCAGCGCCGCCAAGATCACTCACCAAGCGCAGGCCCTCACGGGCCAGACCACCAAGTGGCACGCCTGCTGCACAATCGAGCCGGTCCCGGACGACGAGATAAATCCGGGATCCAACCAGAACTCCATGCTGGAAGAGTACCCCGAGGACGAGAGCGACTGCGAGTCCAGCGAGGAGACCGGTGATGAGGACATGCTGGAGAACACCAAGTTCCTCCAGCCTCACACGCACGTGATCTCCTTCCAGAAGAGGCAGGCACTAGGTACGTATGATCATCTACAGTCACCGTACATTTCGTCGAATTTCCATGAGATGATCTTTGGGGCTGATGAAAAAGGATCTTGCAGTGACGTACCTGGAGAACAACAAGGCCGGCATCACCGTGTTCGGGTTCACGCTGGACCGGTCGTACCTCCACACCATATTCATGCTCGAGTGGACGCTCTTCCTGTGGCTGCTGGGGAAAACTGTCGGCTTCTCATGAACGCCAAGGAATGTCATCGTCCTTCCCAGCCAGGTGGTTCGATTCCGTTCCATATTTTTTTGCTGTCGCCGGTTTGATCCTTGTGAAAAGAGAAGGAATGGGTTTTTTTTGTGTGTGCGCGCGGGTGGCACGTGAGTGGTGTGCACTTGTATGCTAGCAGCGATTTTGTGTGATGGTCGTGTAAATTATTATGGGTTGATTGCTCGTGCATGTAAGGTGTATGTACAGGCTTAGATGAGTGCTTTAGAGCCTCGTGCGTGCGTGCGTGACGCTTGACATTGCAGGTTTATAATCTCAGGTTGTAACTTGTAAGCCAGCATCAGTTATACAGCAGGTGTGTCAAAAAAAGAAAACTCTTTCCTTTATTTTGGTTCTACCGGCTGTTCTCCTGAAGAAAATGTTTTCTGCTCCATTCGGTATGAATTCTATGGGATATGAGATGGTATTTCATATTCAGTACATGTATAATAGTCGAAGCATTTCAATGCAGGTGAGGGTGGTACATCTAATGGTAGTTTTGGTAGGAGCTGGGATCCTACCAGTCCTAGCCCTCAAGTTGTAGGGGTGAAAGGGAGGATGGCGAGGTGATGGGCGCGAGCGGCGGCGCTGTGGTCGCACGGCGAGGAGGAGAAGGTGTGGGAGGAGCGGCTAGGGTTTAGGGTTCCGGCTCCTGAAGGGAGCCGGGCAATAGTTATGACTTATTGCTTAATTCCAAAACCTGTGCTGATGATCCTGTAAATTATTATGGGTTGATTGCTCATGGATGTAAGGCGTATGTACAGTTGTATATTGAGTGCCGTAGAGCCTCGTGCCGCTTGGCATTGGAGGTTTATAATCTCGTGTTGTAATATGTAAGCCAACATCAGTTGTAGAGCAGGTGTGTCAAAAAAAGAAAACTCTTTCCTTTATTTTGGTTCTACCGGCTGTTCTCCTGAAGAAAATGTTTTCTGCTCCGTTCGGTATGAATTCTATGGGATATGAGATGGTATTTCATATTCAGTACATGTATAATAGTCGAAGCATTTCAATGCAGGTGAGGGTGGTACATCTAATAGTAGTTTTGATAGGAGCTGGGATCCTACCAGGCTTAGCCCTCAAGTTGTAGGGGTGGAAGGGAGGATGGCCAGGTGATGGGCGGGCGCGTCGGCGCTGTGGTCGCGCGGCGAGGAGGAGAGGGTGCGGGAGGGGCGGCTAGGGTTTAGGGTTCCGGCTCCTGAAGGGAGCCAGGCAATAGTTATGACTTAGGTAAGTGTTTAGGAACGGCGTGCCGGCCGAACTGTTCCGCCGGTCCCGCGCGGGCCACTCGAGCGAAGCGAGGCGAACCGCATCGTACGCCTCACGCTCCTCCCAATCCCCTTCTTCCTCCTCCAGATCCCGCCGCCGGCTAGCCCTAACCCCGCGTAGGTTACCTCCATCCTTCAGATCCCCTTCTTTCCCTCTGGCCACCCCCCCGACTGCAGGTTCCTTCCGCGCCCGGCGAGCCGGAGTTGGAAGCCGCCATGGATATACCATCCGCAAGCTGTTGTTCGTACTCCCCTGTGCTGGAACCGTCCACCGGAGATGCTTCAACCACGGCAGCGTGAGTGCGCGACCTCCTCCCCAACCATCTGCTTCCAGACGAACTTTGGAACCATTTTTTTCTCCTCCACCGATGTTGCAATCGACGACCAAAAACGCTACAACCGTTCAATTCGAGAGCTTCAACTAGCGGTATATCAAGCTTCAACCAGACACCATGCACTGAAAAAAGCTACAACCGTTCATACGAAAAGCTTCAACCATAGTTTGAAAAGCTGCAAACGACGGAATAGAGAAGTTTCATCGGATCACTATGAAATAAAAAATCCACACCCGTCATTTTTTGAGAAAGCTTCAACCGGTTTTATAAAAAGCTTCAACTGGCTTTATAGGACGCTTCAACCCGCGAGTACACAACAAAAATGTTGCAACAGTTGACGTGAAAAGCTTCAACCATATTTTTGAAAAGCTTCAACCCGGCGACAAAAAGCTGGACTGGCACCTCACCATTGATGCAATGGCTTCACGGCGGAGCTGCAGCGGCTACGAACTCGAGGGGCCAGCGATGAACTACTGGCGGCTTCGCGCGGAGATGCGGCCATCGATGGTGAGCGGCGTTGCTACAAGCTGGACGGAGCGGCACTCCTTCGTCGGAGCTGCGACCTTTGCCGGTAGGAGCTGCATACGGCAGAGCTGGCGAGAGCCACGACGGACCGGGGGTGGGCCACGCAGGCGACAGTGACACTGGAGAGGAGCCGGCGGCCGGGAGGACGCCCAGGCCCGAGGGTGGCGCTCGCACTGCCGTGGAAGGAAAGAAGGGGATATGAGGAAGACAACAGCCCCGGATCAGACGACAGCGCTCGCTGCATCGTGTGGCTAGGGCCCGTGCATGGGACGGTTGGTGCTGGACCGACCCAACAGTTGGGCCGGCGCACCGGCGCAGATCAGCGCCCTATGACTTATTGCTTAATTTCAAAACTTGTCCTTACAAGCGTTTATATAATCCTCGATGAGATAATAAAAATAAAGATAAGTTGGGCCAAGCCCCTAACTAGACGCGCCATTGGGCCTCCTCCGGCTATAAGTGATGCCGGTCATAACATCTCTCCCTGCCTACGCAAACAACTCGTCCTTGAGCTAGAAGTCTAGAAAATGCTGGCGGAACTCCTCGAGCTGCTCCCAAGTGGCCTCCTCCTCCGAAAGGCCTTGCCACTCGATTAACAAACGCCAAACTCCTCGGCTCTGCTGGGCCTTCAACACCTTCTCTGGACCCAAAAGGAGACGACCATCGGAGGTTGGAGGAAGCGCCGATGCGGCCGCCGGCGGATCACCTCGAAAAGGCTTCAGCAAGCCCACATGGAAGACATCATGGATGCGGGCGCCAGGCAGAAGCTGAAGGCGGTAGGCAACCTTGCTGATGCATTCCAACACGGAAAACGGTCCCGCGTAGCGAGGGCCCAACTTGTGTTTAGCGCGCGGGTCCAGTGACTGCGTGGTGCGGTGAATGAGCCGCAGCCACACCCAGTCGCCCACCGCAAACTCCGCCTCGCGGTGGTGGCCGCCGTAGTATTTCTTGGACAACTGCTGGGCCTGGAGAAGACGTTGGTGCACCTCAGCAAGGATCTCATCCCTGCTGCGGAGAAGGTCACCTGCCACCTCCGTCCAGGCCGTCCCGGGCTCAAACGACAGGATGGGTGGTGAAGGACGGACATAGACAACCTCAAAGGGCGTGGCATGCGGGGAGGAGTGGTAGGAGGTGTTGTAGTAGTACTCCGCCCAAGCCAGCCAGTCCACCCAAGCACGGGGACAATCACCTGTAACACAGTGCAAATACATAGCAATCACCTTGTTGACCACCTCGGATTGGTCGTCTGTCTGGGGGTGGAATGCCGTACTTAGGCGCAATTTCATGCCCGCCATCCGAAAAAGATCATGCCAGACATGACCTGTGAACACCGGGTCACGGTCGCTGACGATCAAAGAGGGAAACCCATGAAGGAGGACGATGCCGTTGAAGAAGGCACGTGCCATGGAGGTGGAGGTTTAGGGATGACCAAGCGCAATGAAGTGCGCATACTTGGAGAAGCGGTCGACCACCGTAAGGATGACGGACTTGCCGCCCACCTTGGGAAGGCCCTTCATGAAGTCCATGGAGATGTCGTCCCAGACCTGAGAAGGCACCTCAAGGGGCTGTAGTAGCCCCACCGGCCGCAGTGTCTCCGTCTTGTTGCGTTGGCATGTCACGCAAGACCGCACCCATTCTCGCACCAGCGCCCGGTCACCGGGGATGTAGAAATCTGCTCGAAGACGGTGGAGGGTCTTCTACACGTCCTCGTGGCCTACCGAGTGGGCCAGTAGCAGGGCCTGGTGATAGAGGTCGTCGTGATCCGGCACGAAGAGCCGTCGCCCGTGCAAGAGCAGGCCATCATTCAGGCACCACGATTCCTCAAGGTGGCCGGCCTCGTGGTGTTGATGAAGGTGATGCGCGTCTATGGCGCTCGCGGTAGCCCGACGGATGTCGTTGATGAAGGCGAGGGAGGGCCCCGAGCGGATGAAGAGGACCACCCCTGCGGTGTCGATGGCGTCCGTGTCGTGGTCGGCGTCACGGCGGGACAGTGTGTCAGCCATGGTGTTTAGGCGACCCGGACGGTACTCGATGGTGAAGTGGATTTTGGGAAATGTAGCATGCAATTTTAATTCCTACGCTCACACAAGATCTATCTAGGAGATGCATAGCAACGAGAGGAGAGTGTGTCCACGGACCCTCGTAGACCATAAGCGAAAGCATTTACTTAACGCGGTTGATGTAGTTGAACGTCTTCTTGTTCCGACCGATCGAGTACCGAACATACGGCACCTACGAGTTCTGCACACGTCCAGCGCGATGACGTCCCTCGAGCTCTTGATCCAGCAGAGGGTCAAGGAAGTAGATGAGTTCTGTCAGCATGACGGCGTGGTGACATTGATGTGATCCGCACAAGGCTTCGCCTAAGCACCGTGAGAATATGACCGGAGGTGTAAACTGTGGAGGGGGGGGCACCGCACACAACTTGGAGCAATTGGTGTGTGTTCTAGGGGCGCCCCCATATATAAAGGAGGGAGGTAGAGGAGGCCGGTCCTAGGCGCACCCCAAGTGGGAGGAGTCCCACCTGGGATCCTAGTAGGATTCGCCCCCGCCCCCCCGTTCCTTTTACCGGAGGGGGAAAGGGGGAAGGAGAGGGAGAAGGACAAAGAAAGGGGGGCGCCGCCCCTCCCCTAGTCCAATTCGGACTCCTCACTTGGGGGGGGGGGCACCACACCTATGTGGGCTGGTTTGCCTCCCTCCTATGGCCTATATGGCCCATATCTTTCCCCCGGGGGTTCTAGTAACCCCTCCGATACTCCAATATGTACCCGATAGATTACGGAGCCCTTCTGGTGTCCGAATACTACCTTCCAATATATCAATCTTTACCTCCCGACCATTTCGGGACTCCTCGTCATGTCCATGATCTCATCCGGGACTCCTAACAACCTTCGGTCATCAAAACACATAACTCATATAATACATATCATCATC